GCGCAGGCGCAGGCGCTGGCGCTGTGTGGCCTTCCTTGGCGGTCAAAAGGGCTGTTCAAGGAGACGGGGCGATTAGGCTGAGGGCACCTCCTCGGGGTCAGGGCTACCGCCGTCATGCCGGGGATAGTGGAGCTGCCCACTCTGGAGGAGCTGAACGTGCAGGAGGTGAGGCTCGTCCGGACGACAGGCAAGCGGGGTATCGGGCTGCAGCTTCCCGGCCCTGGGCCCAGCCCTGCTTCGCCTCAGCGACCCTGGGCCCGCTTCCCTGTCCTCTGCCCCCCAACACACACACAGGTCGATCCCCGGACGGCCCCTCCACAGCTATGGGAATCGCCTCCCCACCCTTCCTCTCGCATCCCGCAGTGGCTCTTGAGAGCCCTCCTCCCCCTACACAGCGACCTGCTTCTAATATGAATAATAGTGATAATTTTATAAAGCACCAACCAGGTCCCCTTTACTTCGTTTATGTCCCTTAGTCCTCAAACCTCCCTGCGAAGTGAGTATGAAAACCCAGGTGCGCACAGTCGAGGGAGAGAGACAGTCACCTTAGAGTAGTAGTATCGGTCCAGAGTGCATTAGAGTGGAGCTATAAGTCGCAGGAAAAGATCATACTGCAGAGTGAATTTGCTAACAGCATGGGAGGGTGTCTGGTAACAGGACATCTTTAAAGCATTCGTTTATTCAAGAGTTATCATTTGACTAATTACCATGTGTACATACACTGGAAAATAAGAGATATAGTCTCTGCTGTCATAGAATTTATAATCAGACAGAGAGGAAGTTACAGTACAGCGTAGTTAGAGAAGTAAAGGCACTATACTACTAATGATAGCTAACATGATCAAGTCTTTTCTAGAAGCCCGGCAGGATGCTAATTACTTTACATGCACTAATTCATCAGCTTCTTCCAGCAGCACTGTAAGTTAGGACGTAACTGGTCTTTCCATGTTACAGAAAAGGAAATAGGCCCTGAGAGTAGAAGTGATTTGCCCAGGGTCACATAGCTAGTAAGTGGTAGAGCTGTAATGGAAATCCAGGAATGATTTTAAAACACATGTTTTTAAACTACTATATTATGAGCAAAAGCTCAAAAGAATGAGAAGGCTTAGCAGAACCTTGTGTGTTGAGGGAGTCAAGTGCTGTTTGATGTGACCCTAGTGTTGGTGGGAAGCAGTA